TTGTGATCAATTTTTAGTTTCATATCATTGTGGTTGGAAAAGATGCATGATATGATCTCAGTATTCTTAAATTTATTGAGATTGTTTGTGGCCTAACATGTTATCTATCCTGGGGACTGTTCAATGGGTACTTGAAAAGAATGTGTATTCAGTGGTTTTTTGGATGGGATGTTCAGTATATCTTTTTTAAGTCCATTTGGTCTAAGATGTTGTTCAAAGCCACTGTTTCCTTATTGGTTTCTGTCTGGATAATCTACATTGATATAGGTGGAGTGTTAGTTGTCTGTTATTATTTATGTATTTAGGTACTCCTGTGTTGAGGGCATAGATATTTAGTTGTTATATACTCTTATTTGATTGACCCCTTTATGATTACGTAGTGGCCTTCTTTGTCTCTTGCTATAGTCTTTGTTTTAAAGTCTACTTTATCTAATGTAAGTATTGCTACTCTACCTTTTTTTTCTACCTTTTGCATGGTGCTTTTTTTCCAGCCCTTCATGTTCAGTCTGTATGTGTCTTTAGGTCTGAAGTGAGCCTCTTAAAGGAGCATATAGATGGGTCTTGGTTTTTTATCCATTCAGTCACCCTCTGTCTTTTGATTAGAGAATTTAGACCATTTACATTCAAAGTAATTATTGAGGGGCGCCTGAGTGGCTCAGTTGGTTGAATGTCAGACTCTTGATTTCAGCTCAGGTCATGATCCCAGGGTTATGGGATCAAGCCCATATCGGGCCCCACGCTGAGAATGGAGCCTGCTTAAGATTCTGTCTCTCTCTTCTTCTGCCCTTCTCCCCCGCTCATGTGCATGCTATGAGCATGCACTGTCTGTGTCTGTCTGTCTGTCTCTAAATAAATAAATATAGATAGATAGATAGATAGATAGATAGATACTTATGTACTTCTTGCCATTTTGTTCATTGTTTCTGGTTGTTTTTGTAGTACTCTGCTCCTTTCTTCTTCTGTTACTCTCTTCCCTTGTGTTTTGTTGGTTTTCTTTAGTCTTATGCTTGGATTCCTTTCTTTTTACTTTCTATGTATCTATTGTAGGATTTTGATTTGTGATTGGCATTAGGTTTATATATAACATCTTAGGTGTATAGCAGTCTGTAAAGTTGATCAAACTTAAGTTCGAGCTTAAGTTCACACACACTCTAAAAGTACATTTTTATTCCCTCTCCACATTTTATGTAGATGATGTCATATTTTACATCTCTTTATTTTGTGTATTCCTTGACTGGTTTTTGTAGACATAATTGATTTTATTACTTTTGCTCCATACTGGCTTTACAAGTGATTAATCTATTATGTGTAGAATTTTTTTAAGTTTATTTATTTATTTTGAGAGTGCACACAGGCAGGGGAGAAGCGGGGGGGGGGGGGGGGGGTGGCAATGGGGGGAGAGAGAATCCCAAGCAAGCTTTCATTGTCAGCTCAGAGCCCAGTGCAGGGGTCAGTCCCATGAACGTGAGATCATGGTGTGAGCTGAGATCAAGAGTTGGACACTCAACCAACTGAGCCACCCAGGTGCCCCTCTACTGTCTATTATATGTTTGCTTTTACCTGTGAAAGTTTTTCCTTTCATAATTTTCTCCTAATTATGGCCTTTTCTTTCCACTCAAAGAATTCCCTTTGACATTTCTTGTAAGGCTTATTTAGTGGTGATTTCATCCTTGAACTTTTGTCTGGGAAACTTTTTGTATCTTTTTTTATTCTGAATGATAATCTTGCTTGTAGAGTATTCTTGGTTCCAGGTCTTCCTTCCAGTACTTTGAATGTATCATGCCACTGCTTTCTGGCCTACAAAGTTTCTGGTGAAAAATCAACTAATAGCTTTGTAGGGTTTCCCTTCTGTAGTAACTGGTTTTATTTTTCTCTTGCTGCTTTTTTTTAAATTTTTTTTTAATGTTTA